GCCAGACCTTCACGTCCAAAGCTCTGCAATGGGTCGAGCGTGGGCGCAAATCTTCTTTCACCTCGAGGGCACAGATTGAGGAGTGAAAAATATACAATGCAATATAAAACCAAAAATATGCAAGAATGTTTTTTCTGTCTGACCAAGTAGAAAAAGTTACCAAACAGCAAAGTTTCAATGCTAGACCCAATAAATTGAGGACGCTCAATGAGGCCCCGCAGTCTCGCTGATGCCACCTGCGGATGAAAGAGAAACAAACTACGCACTTTGCATGAATCCATTCAAGACACACCAAATTTACAACATGTTTTATAACAGAATAATAAACGCAACCGTGTCTTGAAACTGCATGTCCATCGCCAACCTGCGGTGGTGGCACAAAGGCCCCCATCAACTTCACCAAAACAAAGACCAGCGCCATCCATGTCTTGATACGCACTTGGTGCCTCCGCTTCATGGCAAAACTATCCCCACACTCAAGTCCCGACTGCAGAAGAGCTCACATTATTCTAAGCTCAGGGCGTGATTTTGGTAAACTTGGTGTCTGATCTTGATTTTGGACGAAATCAAAAACATATTGCACAAGTCTTTGGAAATTCTGCACGCGTGCGTCCGCCCCGATGTCTTGCCACAAGCCGTTTTGAGCAAACTCTGCGGCATGGACGCTGTCAAGCTGGGCAAACGCGTCGTCAAGCAACAAACGAAGGCCTGAGAAGTAACTTGCAGAACCAAGACGGCGTTAAGGAAGGAGATTATGAGAGTACGTGAGGGCATCTAGCAAAGGAAAGGCTTAAAGGACAATGATATCAGGCAACGATATTTGAGGATCGCTGCAAATCCCATTCGCCTTGCATTCGGCCTTGCAAGAGAACTGCCTCGCAAGTTGATAGTGAAGGCCAGTCACTGAGAACACATTTGCTGCATGAACATGTCTAGCGCCCATTGCCCTGTGTCGCCACACTCTCACCCAAACAGCTTTGGTCCGTGCGGTGCCTGACAAGTGTCCTCTTCGTTGAAAAGACCCGATGTTGCTTCTTCAAGGCTAAGCCCTACACAACAGACCTATCATCAGGTTTGCGCAGTGTTCGATTAACACCACCTGCCTCGTGTCCTCGTGTGGGCGGCGCCTCATCGAGAATGAGATAGCCACACGTGTAAAGGCTCATGATGCTGGGGCTCCATCCACCAAGCTCATCGCGCATCTGGGTGGCATCTGCGCTCACCACTCCCTCATGAGCTCAACAGAAACATCTTGCCGATTTTTGAACTCTGTTGTCACTGTCCTATTCAAGTGTTGACGGGCGAGGTGTTCCTGACCACAGGAAGTCTTCAGCGCGCTTGCCGCCTGGCTGGGGCGCAATTGCGCGCGGGCCACTCAGGTTGTCGATCTCCCTGTCGCCCTCCTCTGCTCGGGTGACAATAATGAGCTGGCGTCCGCGTTCAAAAGCTTGCCGGGTGAGCTCAATCAATGCATTGCCGTCACCCTGCAGCCCACCATCGAAAGCATTGTCGAAGAAAATGCGCGCGCCAATGCCATGACTTGCAAGCTGTCTGAAAAAAACGAGCGCGCAACCTTGAGTGCAAGGGATGTGGCTGAAACCCGGAAAAACCTTGAGGCTCTGTCCAAGCTCTCCCTGCAGTACCACCATCACGCAGGACTCGCTTGCGTTGGTTTTCAACACAGACTTCTGAAAAGCTCTGTGGCTTCTGCGGCAACTTCTCGCTTATCTTTTCCGACGCAAAAATGCGGAACGCATGGCTTTTATCCGCACATAAGCTGTTGTTCCAGTTGCTGGCTTTAATGCATCACCGTGTCTTTCGTATAATATGTTGCGAATCACGCGCCGCGTGATCAGGTGTACACTCAGGCGCCGTGGCCCCTGGCCCAAATCACCCCACAGCGAGTGGGAGTTTGCTTCGCCCGCTGGCTACGAGTGGCATTGAAAAGGTGCGCTCGCGCTTTGGTTCTCTACCTTGTCTTCAGCCTGGGGCCTCGTGGGCCCTGGCAACGACATGATATTGGCAGACTTCGGCATCCAGACTGCGGGTCACTTTGGCATCCTCAGCAGAACCGGCAGTACGGCAACCTCCCGGACAGCGACCTAGGTATCTTCATGGCATCTTCCTCCCCTTCACAAAGCTCCATGAGCCTCCCGTCCACGGATGTGGCCACTACAAGGGATAGCTGCGTTCCCCTGTTCCGTGGTCAACCCAATGACTGCCGGGAGCGGCGGAAGAGGATAGCTTTGTACCACAAGAAGATGGTGGCACCGAAAAGAGAGAAGGAGGCGGTCTGTGGAGGCGGTCTACAACCTCCTTGGCTCTCTCACCGGCACCGCCCGGAAAGTTGTGGAACAGCTGGAGGACGCCCAGATCGAGGCCGATGACGCCTTCGAGAAGATCCTGAAGTTGCTGGACCAATCCTTCCAGTACGTGTGGAGCTGACGTCTGACTCTGATGGCTACTTCAACCAGGTTCAGCGCCGGGCAGGTCAGACCTTCCTGAGCTATGTCACCGAGCACGACGAGGCCCTGCGCAAGGTTGCCAAGCACGGTGTTGACCTCCCCTCCAGAATTGTTGGCTGGCATCTTCTTCGGCGTGCCAACCTTACCCGTGAACAGGTACGCCTCATCACCGCCCACGCCAACAAGGCCACGGACCGCGACACCACCGTCAAGGCCTCCTACTACATCCTTGGTCAAGACTACAAGCGCCCCAACCACAAGCACAACACCTACGATCGGTTCGAAGACGCTGCCAGCAGCATGGTTATTGGGCCAATGATGACACCTACGAGGACCAGAAGGGCTTTGCCGACTGGCCCGAGGAGGATCCTATGTTATGTACTACCAGCACGATGAATACTGGGAAGAACAAGATTAGCCCGAGGAGTACTGTGACCCCGCCTTCTACGAAGCTGATGAAATTGGAGACTGCACCTACATGAGCGCCGATCCTGCCTCTTGGGCAGTTGAGGAGTATGATCAGGTCCACAGCGCCGACGTGGACGCCAGCAAGAGGTTTCAGGAGCTTCGCCTGTCGCGTGGTTTTCTTCCTGTAGCAGTTGCTCTTCCGGAAGGTCAACCAGCTGTTGCTTCCGGACATTCCAAAGCTCAAGGACGAGGAAAACGTCCGGTGGCAAGCCTTCGAGCAAGGGCAAGCCTTCACAGGCCAAGTCCCGAGCTGCGAGTGCAACGCAGTGCATACGCTGCGGTGGATCTGGCCATTGGGCCAGCGCATGCCCTCCGCCACAAGCAGCCTCGTTCCGTTCTACGCCCAATCCGAACAAGCGCCCCGCCATCGAGGATGGATCCGCGATGATGGCCAACCTGCTGATCGACCAGTTCGGACCCGAACGGCCGGATGCTGTCATGTTGGATCCTGGAGCATCGTCCTGCTTGGCTGGCTACCAGACCTTTCTCGCCTGTGTCTCCCACCTCGAGTTCATCGGCTACCCCATTGACCAGATCCAGTTCAGCCGCTGCGCCAAGGACTTGTGGTTTGGAGGTGACCATTCAGGCCGAAGCACATGGGTGGTCCGCATCCCCATCTTCCTGAACAACAAGTATGGCGTCGCTGATTGCTTCCTGCTGCCCGGACACACCCCAATGCTTCTTGGAAGACCTGTGATGGAGCTCCTGGGCATCCAGCTGGACTTTGCCAACAAACAAATTCGGCTTCCTGGTGGTCATTGGCGCCGACTAGAATGTGGTCGACAGGATGAGTACCTTCTATCCCTGACTGACTCTATGACCTGGAGTCTTGTCCCTAGCCGTTTTTTTGGCCTGGGGCAAAAAAAAAAGTTCTAAGAGCATGCAGCGATGAACCGTTTCGAATATGAAGGTTTTGTGATTCAAGAAGAAAAGGCGCGCAGCTCTGCACGCGAGGGTTATGAGCCCAACGCCCTGGGCTTTTTGACCAGCCATGGCGGACGAGGAGGAGATGGCCACACCGTCCGACGAGGACGACCTGGCTTTGGTCCCTTGCGGAGCCTCAAGTTCTCCTCCACGATGCTCGTCAGGGCAAGATCCCAATCCAGACCCTCTCGAGGTGGACCTCCGCCTCAGTGGGGATCGGCTCAGGCAGCGAAGACGGCCTCGTCGCTCGAAGGATCACCTCCTCCTTGGTCGACTGGCTCCAGAAGGGGTTCACATCGCATGAGCCCCTTCCCACAGGTCCGTAGAATACTAGAGAGCCTATCGGCGGAGTACACCCGCCAGATGTGCCACCGGGGTCCCCGCAGGAGATCATGGAGATCAAGGGCATGGCCGGCGGGGCGTGTACAGCCTGGACAACTTTTAGCTCTCTCTGGTCCTTCGGGCGCTCCTGGAGGTGGTGGTGAAGCACACCAGCATGGGCCTCCTGCTGTGCTTGCTGAAGGAGAGGCTGTCCATGGAAGGCACGAACCGGGAGCTCATGGAGGGCTAGATGGAATTGGAGCGGCAGGTGTTTTGGCGCTCCGTGGAGGAGCCATGCCTGAGGCAAGGGCTCTTTCTTCGGACTTTGAGGCTGCTTTGACGCCTCAACCTGCAGCTGCGGCCCCTTTCAAAGCCTCGGGATTGGCACTTCAGCAGGGAGCTGGTGGTGGTGTTCTGGCTGGTTTTGTTGGAGGGGTTGGAGGCAGACTCCATCTTGGACTTCTTCCTGGGGCTCCTCAGTTTGGGGCACATCAGCATGGGGTTGGTGGGTTTCATGCACAACAAGGAGCGCCAGCTCTGGGTCATCCTCTTCAAGGAGTGTGTGGTCACGGAGGTTGTGGGCAGGGAGCTCAGCAAGACGGCCAGTGTGCAGTTGGCCAATCGTCCACTGGTGTCGGGCATCCTGGGCATGGAGGAATAGGGCGTGGTGGCGGAGGAAGAGCTCACGGAGGGCTGGGTCTTGCCCAGTGGACCACCTGGTGTGGTGGAGGCCATGGTGGACGGACATGGCGCTGGTGGTGGCCCTGGTGGTCTTCCTGGGGTGGATGTGGAGGTGGTGCTCCGGTGGTCCCCCTGCTGGAGGTGGTGGCTATGGAGGGCATCATGGGCCTGGAGGTGGTGTTCCTGGTGGTTTTCCTGGAGGTGGTGGTCATGGAGAGCCTGGTGGGCATCCTGGTGGAGATCCACGGCGGTCCTCACGGAGGTGGTCTTGGTGGCCACGGTGGAGGGCAAGGCGGTGGGTCGTTTTGGGGTGTGCCTGGTGGTGGACCGCCAGGAGGACGTCCCGGTGGCCCTGGTGGACCTGGTGGCAGCGGAGCTCAAATGGGACATCAAGGAGGTGGTTTCCAAGGGGAGGGGGATCATTTTCGAACACCAATTTTGGATCATTTTCGAACACAGAGTGGGTCATTTTCGAACACATGGGGGGGGGGGCTATCCTGCGGCACCCGTGGGGTGGGGTGGGGGGCGGGGTGGGGCAGATACGCTCGCCTCTTACTGCGTGACCGTGCAACTGCGCCCTGGGGCTGGGGGAAGGGGGCAACCAGGAGGCTCCGAGTCCCAAGTTACCTTGCCTTTCTGAGCTAAGATGTCCTCGGCGACTTGCGCTCGTTGGCCCTCGTAAAGCCGTGAAAACTCGGCCTAACGGCCGTAACAACTCACGCGGGAAACTGAAAGGCCGTCACTACTCCGTGAAAAAGCCGTGAAAACTCGTGAAATTTCAAGCTCTGAGTTATCTTGTCCTCGCGACACAAAGAACATCCTTAGCTCATACGGCCTAAGTAACTTGCGAGTCGGAGCCTCCTGGAATTGCGATCGCCGCTTATTGCGTGGCGGCGCAACTGCGTATTGGGGCTGGGGGGGGGGTGGGGAAAAATACATAAAATGGCACTTCTAACATCAAACCCAAATAATCAAACAGCATACAACAAAATCAGCAAAATTCACAGAAAACAAGATAAGAACCACCAAGCAACTCAAAAACCAGAACAACCCCCAACAAAATATTTAATCAAAGCATAAAACATTAAATAATTCAAATAAGCATACCAACAAAAAAGCAAAAATAAAAACCATCAAAGAACACAAACTCAAAAACACACATCAACAAAAACAAAGCAACATACCAACAAAAAATATCAGAAGAGTATCAAACAAAATAAAATACAAACAGCCAAAGCACGAAAAAATCAAAAGAGCATACCAAGTTCAAACAACGCACTTTGAAAGAGTCAGCCAAATCAAGAAAAAATAAAATATTTTAATCTTTACAAACTATAAGTACAGTATAATTATAGCATATAAGATTTTACATGTTATTATTATAGTATGGTTAAGAGAAAACTACTGTATTGCTTGATGTGAAAACCACATTGTGAAAACCACATACCCCTATGTGAAAACCACATACCCCTATGTGAAAACCACATACCCCTATGTGAAAACCACATACCCCTATGTGAAAACCACATTGTGAAAATCACATTGAGGAAACCACATTGCGAAAACGTCACCATTGTTTGACAATGGTTGTCTTATGTTTTGGTTGTGCTTAGTTCATCACACTCACCAAAATTTCACTGATTAAACTACTAGGTATTTTATATAAATCTTCCTGCTTATGTATTGTTGGATTGTCTCCCCATTTTTCCTTAGTGCCCGATGGTAGCCGTTGTGCTGTTTCAATATGTTTATTATTCCTGATGTTGCCACAATCCTTTTTACATAAATCTTTAGGTTTCCAAGTTGTAATGTTATTCCAGAGCCTAGTCCGTTTCCTGTAAGACATTCCATATTTACAATAATCTACATCTTTAAAATCAAACTCATCCATAAACTCCTGATTTTTTTATAATCCAGTTTGAGGATTTTCGATTACAAAATATTTAGGATTAAAATATTTGATAATCTCAATAGTTTTTAAGACAATACTATTTGCATATTCGATATTCCTAATTCCCCTAGTTTTTGCTATGCTGTATTCAGTGCATGGGGGACTACTCCAAATAAAATCAAAATGGTTCCTATCAAATTGTTTATAATCCCATTTCAAAATATCAGTATTTATATCAGCATTTTTCAAATCCAATGAAATAACATTGAAACCGATTGCTTTTGCAACAAGTCCAACACTGCCTGTTCCGCTAAACATCTCTAATAAGTTCATTATTAAAGATATTTAGATAATATTATCTATGAATAAAAATCCCTGTTTCCTCGTTAAAAACTAAACTATGTTTAGTTTTCAATGAGTAAATACAACTTTATGAATATAGTTGCGTTTCCTCGTCATAGTCAATTTGATAAAATGTCATAGTTGAAGCCTTCGGTTCTTTAATTTCTTTGTTATTAAGTTTGTTTAAATAAATATTTCTTTTATTTTTATATTCCCCATTGGTTCTATCTACTTCTTTACTTTGATAACTGTTTGTTACTGGTTTCTTCTTTTCCATTTCTTGCAAGATTTCTAAAATATTCTTATTCTGTTCTAAAACCTTGTTCAGTTTTTTAACAATCTTATCTAATCCTTCATCCATGTAAATATATACTAAATTATAAAACTAAACTTTTAAAACTAAATGTTGCAGTTATGTTAAATCTACTCTTTAAATACTAATTTTTCACTATTTCACGTATAGTTTCCTGAGTTTCCTTATCGCCATTATCGGATGAGTTTATATTTTGTTGTTCTTTCTGTTTGTGCTTTTCCTGTTGATTTCTTCTCTATGTTCTTCTTTATATATTCTTGCTCTTTCTTTATATTTTTCAGGTTGATTTCTTCTTTCTGTTTGTGGTATTTTTCAGCATTTCTTAAATATTCAAGTCTTTTTCCCGCCTTTATCTGTTCTTGGTGTTTTTCACGGTACGCTTTGTTATCCCTTGCCTTTTGTTGTTTGAAATATTCGGGGTTGTCCTGTTTAGACTCTTGTTCAGTTCTTCCCGGCACTTTAATGTTTAGTGTTGGTTTCCACTCTCGTATGATTTCGCCTTCTCTTTTTTGTAACCTACTTTTGTTCTCACAGGGGCATTCTTCAATTAATTCAATGTAGCAGTTTTCATATCCGTGTTTTATCATAAATGGATAGATTAATGTATTTTGTCGGTTTTGTTTCTTCATATCGCCTCTATGCTGTGCCATTCTTTGACTTAAACTTTGACAGGTGCTTCCAATGTAATAATCTTCGGTTATATTATTTCTAATACAATATATTTTACCGTTTTGATAATTTTTAGTATTTTTCACTTTGACACTATCCATATTGTTATATATTGTTTTTATTGTTTAAGTAGTTTTCATTATTTGTTTAACAGTTTCCTGTGTTTCGTTTTCTCCATTATCGGATGGAGTAGCGTTCCGACCCCATTTAAATGTAATATTATGAACATCTGTTTCTAAGTTTATACTGTCTTTAGTTTTATCAATATTCATTTTCTTATCATTTTTACTAATTTTGAAACTGGTTGGAATACACGAACATTTACAGTTGAAGAAACAACTGGTTCAGTCTTATTCTTTTTCTTTTTTCCCATTTATATTAATATTTACATTTTTATTTTTGATATATTGTATAACAAACTTCATTAGTTCTAAAATAAAATAGCATATTTTCTTAAATCTATTATCAGTTAGAACAACTTGTTCTATATTTTCTACTTCGTTTATTATATTGATATAATCTGAATATCTTCTATCCATATAAAATAATAATTATAAAATATTTTCTAAATAACTTTAATATTAATTTATTATGTCAGATGTACCAATAATAAAACCAATAAACATAACTGATTACGATTTCAATCAATCTAAATATGAGCACGTGCCAAAACTACCTTTTAGAAGCATTATAGTTGCTTCTTCAACAGGTGGCAAAACAGTTCTAATTCAAAATTTGATATTAAATGTATATAAAAACTATTTCTCTCGTATCTTTATTTTTAGTCCGAGCGTCCATAATGACCCTACCTTTGTTGAAGTCAAGAAATACCAACGAGAAGAAATGAAGGTGGATGATACAAAAGAGCAAGTATATTTTGATGAATACCGACCAGAAGAATTGGAAAATATCATTAATACACAAAGAAAAGTAATACATTATATGAAAAATACTAAAATGAAGAAATTATATTCCATTCTTATTGTTATTGATGATTTTTCAGATGACCCTAAATTTTTAAGATATTCAAAAATATTACACGGTTTATTTACGCGCGGAAGACATGACGCCATCTCTTGCATATGTAGTCTTCAAAAATATAAAACAGTAGCCAATATAATTCGTGTCAATGCCAGTTCATTATACATTTTCAGGTTGAAGAATGCAAGTGAGTTAATGAGTTTCATAGAAGAAAATTCAGCAGTCCTGGATAAAGAAAGATTATTACAAATGTATCACACGGCAGTGGGCGATGCTCCATATTCATTTATGTATGTAAATATGAATTCTAAAGACATTAATAAGATGTATTACATCAGGTTTGAGAAAGCATTTAAAATAAAATAAATATTAATATTATATGATATTTTATGATTTACCCATTAAAAACCTTGTATTATCTTATAATTTAGGTGATGTTAGATTATTAAAAATAAAAAATAATAATATTATTAAAAATTATATTAATAAATTTAAACCAGTGTATAAGTCTTACAAACTAAAGAATTCACAATATTTTGAAATTGATAATATTAATATTAATAATGGAATATCATATATTTTTAACTTAAGTGAGTTAGATAAATTACATCAAAAACATAAACCATTAAAATTATTAATTGAATATGATATATTAGCTACATCTACCTCATTTACTTGTTTGAATCATGTTCGTAATCGTACTTTAACATCAAATAATTTATTTGATATTTATTATTTTCTTAATGAAGACCTTTATGAAACTAATTTAATGTATAGCCGTAATATGGTTAATTTTATTGCATTACAAGTTAAAAAAATAACTATTAAAGTCATCAATGATGAAAGACAAAGTTTTATTAGTAAATTTTATTCATATTTTTTAATTAAAAATGTTAATAACGTTTAATATTATTAATTCAGAACAAACTATAACTACAAATTTGAACTGGTAATTTATATATTAATTTGTCACATTTTACTTGCTCCAGTTTTTCTAATCTTTCACTCATTTGTTTAATTGCTTTTAACTGTAATTTATCAATATTACTTAAATCTAATTGTTCTACATCAATATCATTAATTTTATCAATACTTGAAGTTTCAACATTACTGTTCGAATTACCCATTTATATATTATTATTTTAGATTATAATATAATAATAAATACTCACAGGAATTAAAATATGCCATAATAATCCCC